ATTGTCATCATCATCGTCATCATCACCACCTGTCATCATCACCGCCGTCGCTTTGTTTGTCAGCATCAGTAGCGATGTAGCCAACAGTGTTGCGGTCGTCATTGCCGTCACCGTCGCCATCATCGCACAGGCTAGCTCATTAGTTCATCTTCAGGTGGTGAACGTGGACCAGTCCTTGGTGGATGGCATGAAGTTCCATGCAGCTGCCAAGTGATCCGCGTCTTAAACATCGAAGAGGGAGGGCAACAAACTGGTTCTACACAATTGCAAATGTCGAATACCGATTTGGGCTTCTTCAGGGTTGTGTAGTGGACAGGGGCTCAAGTCTTGACAACCAATCCCTAACCCGGAACCCTAAAGCCCTAAATCCTAAACCATGGGACCATCGTAACCCCAAGCCCAGGTGTGCTGGCGGGTGGAAAAGGCGCGGTCTGTGACATTGCGAACTGCGCGATGCGGGGCTGCCTCTCTTTGGACGGAGCTGTGGGGTATGCGGCGCGAGGTGACTTGTCATTCCCAAGCTCTAGGCCACATCAGCAAAAGCTTCTATATGGCCTGGAAACTGTTCATCTAACGCACTCGATGCAAAAGAAAGCCTAGAGTGGAATGTTAGACATTAGACGCATCCTAGTCCTAGGCCTAGATAGTACTCTTGTGCACGAGCAAACACGAATGAGGTTGTACTGAGGAAAGCGACTGAAGAAATGAAGAAGTACAAACCCCAAGGCAACGAAATCAATCTGGTTTCGGAGTTGCTTCGAAAGGCCTGTGATAGGCTAGCTGGACATGTTTCGAGAACGCGTGAGGCGGACTCCCTAGTTCGAGTCAGTAGCAAAACAATCTCCATGAGCAGGTTAAACCCTAAACCCTAAACCCTAATCAAGATTGGAAAACGGCGGGTCGGAGGACCGAGGCAGAACTGGCTAGTGTACACTAGCGAGTATACTTGACAAACTGAGGTTTCCAATCCTCCGACGCAATATGTTTGTTCAGATGTGCAAAACCGACAAAATTTACGAGCAATCAAGAAACCGCTAATTTTGAGCCGGCCCACGGTCCCACTTTTTCCTGCTTAGGTGGGCAAGGGAAAGCATCCGGCCGGAAACGAGAATCGAGAGACCTTCAGATTTAAGTGAACCATGAACTAAGCCCTAAAAACCATACACGGTGAAGACGATCGGTGCTATAATTCCGCTTGC